TTTTCTATTTGCAGAATACGTTTCAAACTGGTTTCAAACTGTGGTTTTAACTTCATTTATGCAATAACATGGCCTTTATAAAATTTCCATTTCCTACAGTCTATTTACCTTTTCCTATTATTTCATTCCTCTTTTTATACCTTTGTTGTATTATCTACAACTGACAAATTAATTATAGTTGGAATCAATACTATCACTCCTCTGGACAAGCATTCTTCGCCACTTTCCTAGTTGTCCAGGTAGGTCAACATTTTCTGCGAACTTATCATCACCTGTGGCGACAGGAAGTAACCGAAGATTAGTTCCGGCTTGTGAGCAAGGGCCCATGACTCCAATACGTTTATCTGGTGCACGTCGTGGACGTTCAGAGCCTATTGGAGGCACAGAACAAGATTTTACTTGTGCTACTTTGCTCGATACCCGAAGCCTGGCGTCTACTGTTGCTCCCAGCACAGTCGCACAAGCTGCCGCTCCTCTTCCGATTGGATCTGCCCTTCTTTTGGTAGATTTGGCAGAGGCGGCATTGTTCTTAACAGGATCACTTGAACCAACATCCTTCCTGGCCGGCCAAACCTCATTTGATTCCACCAAAAAAACTCGTAAGACCATAGTAGTATTTAATCTCTGCATTTGAGCCAGTTGAGCATCCCTTACAAACTTTGGATATTTGATTGGATGATGCGATCAAGTTCTTACATTCTTTTGATGTTCATAGTCTCCTCCCTCCCTCAAGGGATGATGCTATTTTTGAAAATTTTTAAAACCATATCTACTGCTGCGTCCATTGCTATATTATCTGTCTTTTCCTAAAGATATCTAGCGGGTCCAGACGTGTTAGATCTTCGACAACCTTAGACAGCGATCAATTAGGGGAATATTTAGACCGATTCTTATAGCAAATTGAATACTGCTTCATCGACAATCCCACCAAATAAAATAATAAGAGAAAATGTCTAGCCTTTCTTGAAATACACATTTGCCTTCTGACCCAACGGCACTCGTGGCAATGTGGCGTAATGGTAAACGTGTCGAGATTAGACCCGGCACTGTTATGGTTCGACTCCCGCTTGGAGTGTTCAAATGACCTAGATGAGGTCAAAACTGCAGTCCATCTTGGATAGGAATATCTTTAGGGAAAGCAAGGCTATATTCATATAGCCTAGGAACATTCGCTCTACTAATATTGGGGGAAAATCCAACCCCCGGTCCTTGACAAAATAGGTTGGATACATCTCATAAAAAAATATCACTGACAAGGAAAAAATACTCGATGTATTCTATAACATCCACTCACTAAATACAATTTAGTTGCAAATCTAGGTAAAATCATCTTCTAGCCAACATTTTTTCAGTTTCATCTGGTTAAAAACCAGTCACACTGTTGATAATGGTGTACCTTTCACTTCGTTTAAAGAGGCGAGTGGAAAGTATTCGTCAGTTTGTCTCACTGGAAATCGACGGGGGCCTGCCTTGGAGATGTGACTAGATATGTGGGAATATGCCCCTAATTCACCGTCCCGCGACCCATAGGAACCCTTATGAGCCTTTGTCTGTCATATGGTGGACATCATTAGAGCAGGACACCATACCTTGCGACAATCTCTGGCAATAAAGGTGACCGGATGCAAATCAGCCTATTCTTATAGCCTAATTTGGTCCAAATAATAAGGCTTTTACTACATACTTGTTGGAAAGTGAAGTGGCTGCCGATGGAGTGTAAAACGGATGCGATTGCCAGCTAATAACTACATGCTCTCATCAATCATTTATACTCTGATATCTCACTTCCCTACCTATCTTTATAGTTAATCCTTTGAGTGGGATGAGAAAATTTTATTTGCTAGCCGAAAATTTTAATTTATCCGATGTAATAAAGGCCTCATACATGCATAAAACTTGATTCTCACCACTTGATATCACCAGCTTGCAGCAGTTATGGATTT